GGATGGGGAAAAGATGAAATTGAACAAACCCATGCTGATTTTGGTGGCAGGTTTAAGAGACCACAGCCATTTGAAAAGTGCAGACGCAATGTTCGACGCAATGCCACTGACAATTTCTGCAATTGAAGCAAGCAATCACTTAGCGAAGCGATCAAATCAAGAAAACAATAATACAAGTTTGGGGATTTATTAGGACTTACTTGCGGGTGGTGTTGCAGAAGCCAACGAGAATAATGATCCAGAAAACAGAAGAAAGAAAATTGGGAGACAACCCACCCAGTTTTTGCTGATCATGTTGTTGTTCTTCAACTATGAAACGTAAAGTTTGCATTTAAGAGGAAGAATAAAGCAAATCTCGCCACCTTCTTATACTTTCTGCAGATGATTAACGTGTTCCTTGAGGACAGAATTTCTTCTTCTTTTTTTACGTTTGTTGAGACCAACAGAGAGAGAAAAAGGGACAAATTAAAGGGAGGATGAAGAAGAGAAGTTCAGAAGGCAGTGTGCTAACGTAATAGAATAAGCTAAAAAGGGAAATGTAGTTAGGCGGTAGTACGTGTGTGTGGGAGGAGGAGTATCAATCTTCCTTAAAAAAAAAAAAAAAAAAAAAAAAAAAAAAAAAAAAAAAAAAAAAAAATTCAATTTATAGGAAGAAAATGATAAAATATAGTGTTTATTCGCTAAATAAAAATATTCTATGAAGTGGTAGAGTTTTATAACAACCCCAATTTTCTTTAGATTTTAATATAATAATAGCAATCATGAGTATAATTTAAAAAGGAATAATTATGATAGATTCAATATATCTCTTTAAGATTTACAAGTTACTTTTTTAATCGTGAATAATATATGAATGTTTTGCTTGTTTACCATATAATGTTCAAGCATGAACCATGTATATATGATTGATTATTACTAAAGGGTCACGAGACAACATATTATTTAAGGGTTTTGTGATTATATCTTTAGGTACTTGTATGATAGTTGGAATGTGATTTTTAATATCCTAGGGATTGTTGGTTATTTATTATGATCTCAAATCGATTGTGTTATCATACAAAATAATATATGATTATGTCTTTTGGTGCTCCACCTCCTCCTCTTTTCATCATGATGCGTGTTTAAGTTGAAGGTTAACATAGATGAAGGAAAACATGTAGATACATATGATCTCAACAAAAAAGATGAAATAGGAATATCATTAATGCTGCGAAAGAAGGTCAAGAAGCATTATTGAGGATCAATCCATCTTTTTTACAAAACAAGGCCAACAAGCTCACCACAAAAGGGAGAATTTGTGCATGAATTTGCATCTTTAATCTATAAGATAGGGCTAACAAGTATGATACGTAGTAATAAATTAGCATATGAGGGTCTGAATTATAAATCTATAATCGAATATGATTTTTATTATTTAAGATAAAAATTAAGTTTTCATGCTCTAATATTTTATTTGTATAAAAGCATTTTTAATAGTAACTTTTTTGAAAGATCAAATGTTAATATCCAACTCCAAAAATTAAAGTATCGTTTTCTATATCAATAATATCAATAATTTATAGTATTCTACTAAATGTGGTTTTTGAGTTTTAAGTTTTGTATAATTAACTCCTTTTATTTAATAATTTTTTTTACTCTCTTATTATGCCTAACCTCTAAAACTTTATTATTTTTTCAGTAATTATATTTTATCATTTTAATCTCCAATACTAAATATTAAATTTGTTGTGATCATATGATATTTTTATAACTATAAACATAATGATATTATTATTATTTTATTTTAAAAAAAGGACCTTAGATATTTATCTTTTTTGGTTTTATTTGTTTGTGGCGTTTTAATTTTATAAAATGAGACATTCTTGATGCTTTGCATATAAAGAAAACTTATCGTCTCCTTATACCATCTCATATCTTTTTTCTTTTTCTGTATGAAAACATACAAGACATGACATAAGAACCACTTAAGTATTACCAACCTTTGTGCGATGAAATAAAAAAGAAATATAGAATATATATACATTCAGTAACATTTATGTAATTTCATATATTATTATAGATTTTTCTTTTTTAGTATTTTTTCGTTAAATATGTCTTAATTTCATAAATAGTATATGTGCGTAAATATAACAAATTAGATTGGAAGGCTTTATAAAATATTTTATAACGATTAAGGTGAATTAGTTAATTTTTGTAAAGATTTTTTAAAATCAATAATTAAAAGTAATAATATTTTATTTGATAAAGTTAATGAAAAAATAATATAACAAAAGCACTATACATAAGATTGACAATTTAGATGTTCTAATAATACAAAGTATTTATCATCAGTTTTAAAAACAACATGTCGTTTAAGATAAACTTTGAGATTGTTTTATTTATAAATTTTGAAATTTATAACTTGCTAAAAAAGAAAATGTAAAAGGAGGTAAAACATTACAATCGAAGAAAAACATAGGAAGATACTTATGAATTATAATCATGTGGGTTAATAAAGTAAAAGAAGGCGAGAGAGGCATTATGTCGCCGTGGGGGGACACCCAACACACACACAAATCTCTATAAACCCCGACTCTTACCTTTAAAAATATGTTATGTCTTATCAAAATTATCCATAGCAACAAAGTATATATTATTACAAAACAATTTTAGGAAAAATGGATATACCAAAATTAAATATCCTTTTATCTTTTTTTATTATTCTCCTATCTATTTAAGATAATGGCACGTGTCAGGAAATTAAATTTAAATTTAATTGGGAAAAAATACTTCATTTATGGGGTTTTCTATAGACAAAATTGCAAGAATAATCCATGTGATTAGATCAAAATTGCTACTTTAGGCCAAACAGGTTTCGATTAGCACTCATAGTCTAAAGGTTTTCATTTTATTGTCACTTTGGTCCAATTTACTTTAAAGTTTTTTGTAAAGATGATTTTGCCCTTAGGTTTTATTTTTATTTTTTTTTAGTTTTTTATTTATTTAAATACTTTTATAATTAAAAGAAAAATAAAAAATACATATCTCTCTCTCTCTCTCTCTCACTCACTCTCTCTCCACTGTATCTTCTTCTCTATTGTGTCTTCTTATCCACCCAAAAAATGCTTTTCATCCTATTCATCTTCAAAAAAAATTCTCTTTTTTTTTAAACCAAACGCAAAATCTAGAGCTTGTAGCACCGATTTCGTAAAAGAATCCTAGTAATTACTTCTAAAATTCTCCTTAACGAACTTAAATCCCCAAATCAAAACCAGAAATTGAAGAGGAAACAGGGAATGGCCACCGATCACTAAACATGGAGCATCGATTTAATGGCGGTGGCGGAGCAAATCAATCGCTTGAGGTTGCACGAGATGAAGAACAGGCAGAGGAAATCACGTACCCATCATCTCCTTCATGGAGAACCCAAAATCTGGGTTCATTATTGGATCTACACAACTGGCATCCCCAATCGACGACTTTTAACCATATGAATAATGGTTTTAACCCTATTACATACAACCACGATTTTGATGGGTTCGTTTCTTTTATTTACGTTGATGCAGGGAAGAGGGAACTGTCAAAGGTGTGACCAAGTTTTCCAGTTGGAGATGGAAATGAAGACTGAAAGAGGGATTATTATCCAAACGCGAGATTGATTCTACCCATCAACGTCATTTCCTTCGAGGGAAAAACTAAAACAACATAGACATACCTCGTGTTCTTCGGATTTGGAATATTGAAGAAGAAAGGAGTCGTCAGAGTGTTGAGGTTGGTGATGTATCGGACCCATAAAGTTTTTTATAGAGAACGAGATGAGAGAGGGGCATGAAGAAGGTGGAGGAGATGAGAATTAGAGTTTTGGGTGTTGGAAGATGTGTCGTGGTGGCTGAAAAGGGGGTAGCGGGGATGAGATGGGTCAGTGAAGGTGAAGTTAGGGTTCCGACACTATGGTTATGACGGTCGACTTTGGTGGTTTGGATGGTGTTTGTCAAATAAGGAAAAAAAGGATGATAAATGGTTTTGAGAGAGAGAGGGGGGTAGGGAGAGAGAGAGAGACAGAGACAGAGACAGAAAGAGAGAGATGTTTTTTTTTATTTTAATTATAAAAGTATTTAAATAAAAAAAAACTAAAAAAAATAAAATCCAAGGGTAAAATCATCATTACAAAAAAGTTTAAAGTAAATTGGACCAAAATGGAAAGAAAATGAAAACCTTTGGACCATGAGTGCTAGTCCAAACCTGTTTGGCCCAAAGTAGCAATTTCGACCTAACCACAGGGACCATTCTTACACTTTTGTCTTTTCTATAAGTACCCCCTCCCTTTTCCAATTTCACCCCCTTATTTGATTTTTTGTCTTTTGTTTTGTTTCCTAATTTGTTTTTTTTGTTTTGTTGTTTTTGATTTATTATTAGACAAAATTGCAAAAATGGTCTCTGTGGTATGCAAATTTTTTGGGTTTTAGTCCAAACCCCGAGTTTTTTGGATTCATGGTCATTTTGGAGTGGTTTGTATGTGGAAATGGTCTCCGGATTTAACTTCCGTTAAGTTGTTGTTAACCCCCTCATGTGCCTCCCACATGAGGGTATATTTGTTTTTTCATTTCTAAGGGACCATTTTTGCAACTGAAAAAAATATAATCCCATTTAAAAAAAACTATTTATTTATTTCAATAATTAAAAAATAAAAAGGGTCTCTTTCTTTCTTTCTCTTTCTCTCTCTCTCTCTCTCTCTCTCTCTCTCTCCATTCACATCCATGTTTAGGGTTAGTGGTTATAAGAGAAAGTCTGCATTCTTATCATTAGCACCACCACTGCATCATCATTCTTGCACCACCATTTCCCGCCATAAACCCACCACTGGTAGCCTTGGACCACCGTGAATCACCACCATTATCCACCATGTTTGACCAAAAGCCCTCTCTTTCCCATCTCCTGTTCCGATAATCAGTCACCACCACCGTCGTTGTTGCTATGACCATCGAACACCACCCAACACCATCTTCCAGCCAAACCCACCACCACTAAACGCCCATCACCACAACTGTTGTGGAAGTTGTGTCCAACACAAGGTCCCAACACTTCCCCCTAGTTTAACTCGTCAAAAATATCAAGGAAACAATGCAATAGAAACCGAGTTCTCAACATGTTCACCCTTTGAATTCAGTGGGAAGAACGAGAACTCCTTCCTCTGACCCGAGTCAACGTCATTGACCAAAGTCAAAACTTTCCACATCCGTAGCTACTAGAAACAAGACCTAATCTTAGCGATAAATCACAATTAACCAGAGACGATGGCGGCTGTGGTTCTTCACCAACGGTTTTTTAAAGATTAAACCTAGAGAAACTTGTAGACGGAGGTGGCAAACGCTCGTGAACTATTTGGAAAACTGGTTTTCCGACGATTATCCGATTAGAATCTTCATGGGTCGTCAGAATTCCGATTATCGGGTTTCGAGGTTGAAAATGGACGCCACAGTATAATGGGTACAACGAAGATAAAGCTATAGAAGCTTGATTTTCCATTAATGGCAGATAAAACGAGGGACCGGAAGTGGAAATATGTGTTTAATTTCGAGTGTAACATCCCAAATTTCGAATCCAAAAATTTCGTATGTAATTAAGTAATTAAAAATTTCATTTACTAAAATCATTGTCAATATCAAATCAACCCATAAACCATCGTGAATAAGTCTAAAAATCACAATGCGAACACTAGTATAAATCAGAGTACAATTGTAACACCGTAAATTTCAAAACAAAATTTTCAAATTTTTATAAAACATAATTCATTTAATATTCAGAAACAACCATTTTCAATCGTTCAATCCAAGTAATACAAAATCCCAAGATCTCAAAATCATAAATCCCGTGCGTGTGTACTGATCAAGCCGGCGCCTTCCCACGGTCGTCAGTAGTACCTGAAACAATTAACATCAAACACTGTAAGCACAAAGCTTAGTGAGTTCCCCAAAATACCACATATAACACATATTAGCCACTCGAGGCTATAACTCTATGGGTCCGTGCACCCACATCTGTGAACTCTCAGGTTCTAACTCTGTGAACCTTACGGTTCTAACTCTATAAACATGCACAACATAAATCACATAGAAATAATGCAGTACAACACATAACATACATAACATACAAATACTTTGTCATATAACTCTAGTTACCTACTCAAGGTAAAGTATAGTGAGAAGACTCACCTCGTGTATCTCGGAATCACTGGTGCTCGATCTCCCGAGCTATCGTTCTCCTACAACACAAGCATATCTCTACTTAATACCACCTTAATCTTGGCTGACTAACACTACAGAGTAAAACTAGTCAATTCTGGACAACGGTCAAAGTCAACCCCTGACTGACTATACTCGCCGAGTCCCCAAGCTCAGAACTTCCCTCAATTCGCGACCTGACTCGCCGAGTCACCCCGAGACTCGCCGAGTCCAACAACTCTGAGTCCACTCGCACCCAACTCACCGAGTCATCCCTTGACTCACCAATTCTCGACTCAACCAGAAAATATTGGGATTCTTCGACAAGACTCGCCGAGTCCAAGAACAGACTCGCTGAGTCTAAGGCTATTTTCAACCTACTCGCCGAGTTGTTCATCCAACTCGTCGAGTTCCAGCTCATCTTTCAAGCAACTCGTCGAGTCCACCCTTGTGACTCGCCGAGTACCACCGGTCTGAATCCATATGAGTAACAGCCCAAGAACAAGATATTACCTCAAAAGAACGCCCCAACTGCAATGAAACTCGAATCCAAGCAAAGCCCCTTGCTCCAAGCCTCCAAACTCCCAAGATTTCTTCAATAAATACCCTTCAAGCTCCCAAATGCACTTTGATCCACACACACACGAATACTAAGGGTTTCTGGACTTGAGGATGAGTAAAGAGGCTAGGGGAATGGATGTTAAGTTCTTTATATAGGGCTCAACCCCGAGAATTAGGGTTTTCTCCACTCAGTACCTACTCGCCGAGTCCATCTTTGGACTCGCCGAGTAGGCCACTTGACACGCGACCAAAGTCGCGACCCTACTCGCCGAGTCCATCCATGGACTCGCCGAGTTGCCCTTCAAGATTTACACTTTTAGCCCTTCAACTCTACTCTTGATATTTCGGGGTGTTACAATTCTCCCCCACTTAATTTAGGCTTCGTCCTCGAAGCCTACGACAACTCATCTCCAAAAATACTCCCACAACATGCCACCTGGACTTAACCGGACCAGGTCCCTCAAGGCATACCCATCGAAACTCGAACTCACTTTGTCTTTCCTTGCGGTGTCCTGACCACCGTCTCAACCCGGGCACTGGCTTTACCCCTTGATATCCACACACAACAACTGAGTACTTCCAATGATGCATCACTGCTCCAAATCTCAACAATCACTCGACCCATAAGAGCTAGAAAACCATGAACCATCGGATCCCTGATCCGAAACCCACTCTATCCATTCCATGCTGACCGAAAGACCCATTCTTCAATCTCAGAGTAACTCCCACGAGTCCTCTTCTTGCAATCACACGCACATGCTGCACTAGTCCTCGCACTCTCAAGTTAGGAAAACCCGTCACACTGACGACATCTCCAACATCCCCAGGGGGAACCACCACTACACACACGACTCCCTGATCAGAATCAAGCTGGGAGTCCCAGACTCCATCCCTGCATCCATCCTGAGACTCTTGGCTCTACACCCACGGAATCCCTTCCGCGTCCTCCGCAGTCACCCCAACATGATGTCATTCCATACCACCACCGCAATCACGCTGCTCAATGATTACCGATCTAACGACACCTCCTCCCATACAACAGCTCAAAGGGTGGCACACTGGTGCTCAACTGATGGTTGTTGTTGCAGGAAAGCTCTGCCAAGGGCAAATACGTGTCACAACTCTCTCCGAAATCTATTTTATATATATATATATATATATATATATATATATATATATATATATATATATATATATATGCCCGAAGTATGTCCTCGAGCGTCTGAATCGTTCGCTTGCTCTGCAGTGTCCTCAGACATCACCAAGGTAAACTCTACCTCATTTCTCATATCCCTCTTCGATACTGAACACCAGATCAACTTTTTGCCCCACAACTGAACCTCCAAAGGTCACACATATCATGACCCAAGATATCACACCAACTTCCTCCCTTTGACAAATATTCCGGCCCAGTGACTCGTAAGTCACTAAATTCTCTTCTCCTCATACGAAAAATACAATCCGATCGAAGATCGAATCAACTCTGACCTCTGGAGTCTGCTGCGCATATCTCCTGCGCACCTTGCTGAATCTCTCGACAGAGGCGGAGGCCCCAGCCTCGCCCCGGTTTAACCACTAGGCTCCAAAACTCAGTATTAGGGCTACTCAAGCCTAAAACTCCTCTGCATCGTACACTGATCAGAGAACACTCCATCATCACACTCTCTTGCTGTCTAGCGAGTTCTATGGCTTCTTGCAATATCACGACAGACTCTGACTAGTGAGTACTACGATTCCTCGTAGCACCACAACGCCAACCGACTAGTGAGTACTATGGCTCCCCGCAGTACCACGACTCCCACTCTCTGACTTGTGAGTACTACAGCTCCCTGTAGCATCACAACACCCTCTGACTGGCGAATACTATGGCTCCCCGTAGTATCACCCTATACCCTCATTCTCATTACAACGCCACACTATGCTCACTAACTCATGCACCGAAGACTATCATAGGTAGTTACAAACTTGCCCCAATATGCATTACAGACTCTAGCGGCAACCGCTATACGCAGAACCCATCTCTGCGGAGATCCACTTCCTTAAATAATTCCGTCTTGATGACAATACGCGAAGGGCTCCCACTGGAACCCTAGATACATGATACATCACTAGTCGCTTCAAACTCAAGACTCTAAATAACTCTGAAATCAAGACGCTATACGCGGAAACCACGGAACA